AGTGGTATGGAAATGGAGCAGGAAGGTATGAACAGGAAAGTTACAAATGGAATGAAAAGCTAAAGTGACTATTTTTCGTGAAAGAACAGGCACACCTCATTACAACAAAGAGTTAGTAACTTATTCCCATGTACTAATTTCCCATGCAACAATCACCAGTTATTTTAGTGGATTACAGCTGTACGACCATAAGAAATCATTTCCACATACTGTTGAGGAACTTCAAAAGCAACTAACAAGTCTGAAATCAATCTCTCTTCTCTTAAAAGTTTTACATAGCAAAACGTTGTAACAACTGCATAAAGTATTTTATATTAACATTAGAGAGGAGTTCAGACTGTAAGCTGCTCTAGGCTATGATTCATTCGTGGCGCTCTGCCAAAAAAATAAATACATTCAAGACCAATGGCCTCAAGGGGAAAGGTAGGCCACTTTTTAAAAAGCACAGAGATAAATGATTTACAGAACAGAATACGGTTTAAGATTTCAGCCTATATGGGTGATGAGGAAGGGCTTTCTTACATCTCACAAAGATTTACTGCACAGACTCGAATACTGGCAATGTATCAACAGATGGACTAAACTAGGAACTATTAAGCTGGGATTTGCAAAACTCTCTCCAAAGAGTAAGAAATGACCCATTATATTGCTATACACAAAGAAAATTCATACAGCCAAATCAAGATATGCAACGGGTATTTCAGCCACGTAAGACAAACACGGCCAGTTCGGGTTACAGGCAAACTCTGCAGTAAAGTAACACCTGTAGAGGGAAAGACCAATCCACTGGCAGCGTGACAAACCGTTTAAAGGTTTGGGAGGGTTTGACGCCATACAGCATCTGCTGCACATAAAAATGTTTAATTAGCTGCTAAACAGCAAGCAGTACATTCCCATTTTTCCTACAAATATATTATTTCTTGAATAAATGCCCTTGCTTAGCTAGCAAGGTTGAGAACGAAGATAGCTGTTTCACTACGGGAGCTGAGGCCAACTCATTCTCACACATCAGATTGACTTGTAATTGAATTCTAAGGTTTTGAACCACCCTTTTAGCAGCAAGCACCTTCTGAAACACCAAAACCACTTTTAAATGTGTCTTGCTTTAATATTCAGAACATTATCTTTATCGCTAATGGCTTTTAAAAGAAAGCTGTTCTTTTAAACACTTCCCTAGAGTTACAGCTGCATTTCGTAATTTAAAAAATTCTAGATTTAACTGCTGCTCATCCCCGAACTTAGCAGCAGTGAGGAACTGCAGAGAAGGAGAAACACTGAGCCTGCTAGGATGTAAGATATCCTCATAGGCTATTCTATTTAAAGTTCTAGTACACACATATCTCCAAGGAACCCTCTCTCAATAAAAGGGAAAACAGCCATGACCTCAAGGTAACAAATAAAAACCACCAAAGGGAACGAGCTTTTAGAATCCAACCCTCACTGATGCTGCAGCCGTATCCTGGGGGGGTTCAGCTGTGTCCAACTGTACTGAGACATCACATAGATTTTTAAAAATTTTTTTTACATCTGTAGATTCAAGCTCAAACTATATGTTGCCATTTGTCTCAAAAAGGAATCACATACCTATTCAACAACAGTAGTAATGTTTGCATTTTAAGTCAAGCATGTGATTAAGTGCTCTGCTAGTAAGAATTCTCAACCAGATGTTGGGCAATCTTATGACACATGAGCTCTCTCAACCAATGCTTAAAGCAGTTGTAATTTATGAGCCAGTGGTTTCACATCCTGTGGTGCTGTTATTCAACCAGGTTTAAAAAGCCCCATCCTCACCTTTTTGGTTTGTTTTTTTTAAAAAGAAAAAAAAAAAAAAAAGCACAGGTTGGTCAGAATGGTTGTGTTCAGTGATATTACTTCCCAGTATGGCTCATGATGTAAAACTTCACTTAACTGCACTATTACAGGAAGGAGGAATGAGCTCCTTAAAAGGTCAGTGTCTAGTCTTGCCACTGCCTACTTTTTTTTTTTTTATTTAGTCATATTGCTTGTTCTGTGAATATGTTTTTGCTCCATCTGTGCATCACAGCTGTCCCGTCCCCCCCCTCTTTTTTTTTTCTTTCAGCTTGTACATTTCTGTCCAGCACCTAGGAAAGCCTGCATCCTTGAGGGAATTAGGCTAATTACAAAAATGCAGTAGTTCCATTTTCATTTACAGACATAAAGAGGAAATAAATGAGGCAAAATTTGGAATAACATTTTTGTTGTTATCTTGAATGACCTGTTAATGTATTCAGTACATGGAATAGCTTTCTAATAATCCAGTGTGCAGCAAGTGACCTTTTTAAAAACATAAAACCAAATATGTTTTTCTGCTTACAGTACTGATTTTCCAAAAGTTGACTACAGGAACACAATTCACACACACAGAGAGAAAAATGCAATTTTACTGAGAGCGATCTCGCTGAATTTGTCGAGGACAAATCCACACCGGCATCCTCTCCTTTAGAAGGAGGTCCTTTCCCACACAGCCTTAAAAGAAAATAAACCCAACTACAAAAGGAAGCCCAAAGCATATACAATTCAGTTACATTAAAAATAAATAAATAATCATTCTGCTAACTGTTCACTCAGAGGGTTATTTCTGGTTATTTCTGTGCTGTTTCCTACAAGGAGTTTATTTGGTGTCAGTTTCCAAGACTTTTTTTTTGTATCCTAAGACTTTCACAGATGAGGATTTCTCCCCCCTCCCCTCTCCAAATAACACAGTGGACCCTACTGAAAATTTGCTAACACCAAATTGCCAGTGTAAAAATCAGTCTTTCGTCCGTGCTCCTGCCCATGTGCAGCTTCCCCTACAGTGTACTTCATTCGGGACAAAAAAATAAAAGCTGTTACCTCGTTAGATGCCTAAACCAGGCAGTTCTGCCAGCACTGCTCTTCTTACCTGGTAACTATTTCATTCAAAAGGTCATGACTCCATCCCGAATCTTTTCTGGTGCTGCTCATTTGTCCAAAAGCATCGAATCTGTCAGGATCTGCTTCTACCACTGGGACCAGTATTCTCTGTTCTTAAGAATTTTCCACCAAGCATACCTAAGTAAGTCAACATCTGATTTCAGATCTCTTTTTACTACAGCTTATGCTGAAATGTAAAAAATTGCATGGCTATTTCAAGTCTTCACTACATATGAAGTCAATTTTAAGGTGGATAGGGTATATTTTGTATAAAAGACTTCTAGATTATCCAGAAAGGAACCTCTTCATGCAGACAAATCACCCATCCAAACCCCAAGGTTAATTTAATGTAAGCAGTGGCTTAAATTCCCTAGCTCTGTTTCTTACGATACAAACTTTTTCAAATCATGGACTTTAGCCTCTTACTAATAGGGACAGAGAACGCTAGTACCACACGTACAAACATTCTCTAGCTTAAGGCACTACTTCTGCAGAATATGCGACCATAAAATGGACAGTCAGCCTCCTAATATCAGAAAAGGGGCATTTGAGGAGGTATGTCTTACTAATTCTAGATCTATCATCAATGGATAAAGCAAAGTGTTAGGAATCTGCCTATGACCTTAGAAAGTTCCTATTTCACAGTAATAATATTTTCCAAGAAAATAATGAAAGGGACACATTTATTTCCCGATTCTGGATTCAAATTTTGCCACTTTAAATTCAAATATTTTAAATATTGCTAATTTTTAAAGTTCTCCTGTGATTAAAGTAAGCCTGAATGAGTCATATTACATACAATAATATATTTTTTGTCTTCTTTCTTAAATTTATGCTTTGAACTGCTCCCTGAAAACAATTAGCAACCAATTTTTTAAGTCACATCACTAAATCAAATGAAGCTTGAGAGATGGCCATGCTGATCACATAACACACAGGGAAAAAAAACATGCTAATCAGGAAACACATTTTATTTCCATTTTTTACCTTTAAATTATTTTTATCATTGACACTCTCACAAATAAAATGAAGTGTTCTCTCAGTTTATTTTTCTTAAGAAAAACATCCAAAATTAGCAAACCCACCTGACTCAGTGCAAAAAATATTCTATTTACAACAGATGCTCCCAATTTATTGCATCACACGTGAACGCCATAAAAAATGTCCATTTTTTAATGGCATGATTAAGGTAACATGTTATGTAAAAGTCCAATTTTTTTCTAGTTTAGCTGACTTAATTAAGCAAGGGAGGACATGCTTCATCTTTGTGGACAGTATTTTCAGTTAAAAAATAATAATCAAAGAATTAAAGCACTTAGAATCTTCTGCCAAACAACACACATTTCATAAATCTGCACAAGTAGGTCCTGAAGGTCAGTGAAAGTATGACATTCCTTCCAACTGTGACACTTCTGACAGTGCTTAGCCATGTCATTGTCATCTCAGTCTCATGAAAGGAACATACAATTTTTATGACAGGATCTGATACCTGACAAGCTTCTCATCTCAGCCTTTCCCAGACTGAAAGTCACTGTGGAAGTTTTTGGATTCAGAATGTCACACATCTGAGAAAAAATTTACCTTTCATGAAGTCTAGCCTGTAGAAGCACCCAGTAAGCATCCTCACAAGAATTCTAAGGATGAACTTGTAAGTGCAGAAATAATGTATTTCAAGAGGACAGTTTCATATCTGCTTAGAACTCAATGGACTCTCCAGTTCCATTAGTCCCTGAGAACAAAAATTGGGACAGTGAGTATCTTGAAAGAGCCTGGGGGTATTTTGGAAAATAAAGCTAGTAATACATAGAAAATGAGAGGCTTTGGTTTTTAATTCATATGTACAACCAATCCTTTTTACTCAGGGTTTCTGAAAATCCAAGCTATAGCAGACTGGAAAATTCATTTCAATATTTACACAGCACAATTCCTTTGCCCTATTACCATTGAGCCTTCCCCCACTAACAAAAGTTTCTATTTTAGTAGTAGAATTGGGCATGTAAATTATTAGAACAGACTTCTTAAATGCACTTCAATCTCCTCAAGTCGGCAAGGCAACATCTGCAAAATATTTAGAGAAAAAGTACCATTTATTTACCCATACACAGTACGTCAAGACTCAAGATGTCTTCCTTAACCATCCCTTTGTCATTTTATATAATTTCTTCATACTGTAAGTAATAGATTTCTTTGCCCCTAAAAAAAAAAAAAAAAAGACACAAAACCCAGATAATATCAGTATTTAGGAAGGCTAACTCAAATACTAGGTTCTTACTACATTAAGTAAAATATTTCCCTGGAAGAACGACAACCTAATCCATCAGGCAGACATGCAAATAACCTTGTCACACTCATAACACAGTAATAATGAAAAAAAAAAATACTTTTAATAGTATCAAAGCATGCAAAATAGAATAGATTCATTCTGAAGACCTGACATTGTTGCATACAAGCACGTATAGACAATGACCAAGGTACAGCAAAAGTAGAGATTCATGATAAAACTCTTAACTCGTACAGAGGGAAACTTTTAATTTAGATCATTGTTCCTAAATGCTAAATACAGGAAGGCTTTTAAACCATCTGTGTCACTACAGACCCTCCCCAAACCAATGCACGATGCTTTGCAAGCCCTTCCTGACGTACTGCTGGGTAGCGTGTCCAGCCGAGCAGGATGGTGCTCTGGCCTGGTAGCGGACACCAGCAATCCCACAGACTATATTCTGCAGCAGGACACTCCAGCAGGACTATTTAGAGAAATCCAGGCTGTTAGGCGTGCAGGTTAATTAGCTGGCCACACCTGTGAGAAGAATCTAGTTGCTGAAGCATTTCAGCTCTGGAGACAGGAGCCCACCACCAGATCCTGTAGATTAGATGAGGCTCAATCACCAAGAACCATAGCTACGCCTAAAGCTGTGCGGCCAAAATTTTACTGAAGGGATAAAGGGAAAGGAGAGAGAGAGGGGTGAACCAGCACAAAAGAACAGTCTGCTCAAGCAAGACATGCAAACTCTGCGTGACTGGTAGACAACAAGCTTTATACTTCCAAATCCTACTTTACCAATTTCTTCTGCTAGTCAGATCTGAGTTACCCTTGCTTGACGCTACACATCAGGCACTCGGCTGCCTTGTTGTAGACCAAATCAACACAGCTAGAGTTGAGAAGCATCACGCTGATGCCCATCTTGATTGAGCGTAATCAAACACTGCACGCCATCGGCAGCTTTCCAGGACAAACATAACCAAAGCATTGCTATGCAAAGGCTTATGAATTAAACATGAAAACAGAGATTGTTTCTTTCCATAGGAGATATGCTGCTGACTGCCAAGGTGAAAATCTGTTCTGGTTTCAACAAGTTGTAAAATACATTATAACCTCCTTGAATATTTTGTTATTGCCTCATCCTAACTAATGGCAACTACCATTTCCTAACTGAGAGAACAGCACATCTGCAAGAGAATAAAACTCCTCAATTTGCGTAATGAAATGACATCTGCGTCCTTAGGTAACAAGCGATAATACTGAAATGATGATGGGTATGGAGTACCAGATTAATAAGGATATACCCAGGTGAACTGAAAAGAAGCAAAAATAACAAGATGATGACAAACAGCTGTAATTTAGCAACACTGCCAAATTGCCATATCAGAAGTATACCACGGACACCGGCGTGCATACCCTGTCACAGGGACGTTGTCTGGACCAATTCTGCTTCAGAGGAACCTGCCTGTCACTTGTTTATAATAAACCTCACGTGAAGCCAGAATAGCTGTCATACTCTAGCATCATCCTGCAGTAGCCCATTTTGGTAAATACCATACCATTACGCTAGGCCTACAACGAAGGCAGGCATTTCTCCATTTTCATGTAGATACAGAAGGGTTTCACAGCAGTCGTGGCCTCCAAGCTTTTACAAGTTTTAGATATGAAGGGACTGAGGATGACTCCCACACAATTTGTAAAGTGCACCCTTAGAGTTAAACACTTTCCCAAGTTCTACCAGAGATGAGCCTTCTCTTACAGGCCTAGAGTAAAAAAAGACACAGCCTTTTGCTGGGTTTAGTCATCGACTGCTTGGAAACTTAAAAACAAAATATTGTTAGTCTTGGCATTTCAGTGGGGTTCTGAGATCCTAGCCAGTGGAGTTACTTCTTTTTCCTCCTGCCATCTTTTTTTGATTCAAAAACCACCCCAAAACAAAACAAAAACCCCAACACATTAAACACAGAGTGACTTTTCAAATTACAACACAGTCTAATCACACCCTTACAAATTCAAAACTGAAAAGGCAAGTTTTTAATGCTGCACAAAAAGCTTGAATATTGACACTTGCATGTGCAGATTACAGTATGGTACACCATACTTACTACAATCTTTCTCATGTTTATTTAGTAGAACACCGTTTACCTGACAAGACTGACTAAAATTACACAGAAGCAATTTAGCTAAAAGTCACATAGTACGACACACCAGAACACAAGGAAAGATCTTCTGCAACAAATGAGTGACTTCGACTCAGGTTTAGCCATCTATTGCATTGGACTGTTGTGGGTGGGCAAAAAGGGTACGATAATATTCGGTCTTGAAGAGATCTTGGAATGTAATCAAATGAAGACAAAATACTTCAAGTGAAAGATGCATTCAGTATTAGCAATCTAGAGTCACAAGAAGTCAAATGAGTACGCAGTAATAAGGAAAAGTGCATGCTCTATTTATGAAGGAAAGCGATGGAGAGTAAAAAGCCTGTCATAACAAATATGCTGTATATAATCAGTTTTGCACTTCCTGTGTCTCTAATTGCAATTTAAATAAACTCAACTTTACCTTTTCATAAGGAATCCCTCATACGTATCTTTTCAGCTTACAAAACCATGTGCATCCCATATGTAAGCTCAAACTTTTCTATATTTAATAGGTTTTTGCTAAAAGCAAGCACACTAATGAAGTCACGATGGGCTTTTCTTCGCAGTATCTCAAATAATGAGTAAATAACCATATAAATTCTGAAGTGCCTTACATATCTGCATTAAAATTGCAGACAGTGTAAGAATTCCAGTTGCAGAACAAGGCCAGACCAAGCTCAGGCATAGCACATAAATGAAAGAAGTGGTTCCAATCTCCGAAGTTAAAACTATGTAACTGTACAGCTTTTAAAATTACTGTCCAATCTCCTCGGTACTATACTTCCAGGATACAGCCCCTTGAATGCTGAAACCGCTCTGCCAGGATCGATGTTGTTCTGCCATTCCAACAAAGTCAGAGTACTTCTGGAAGCACAGTATAGTGTGTGGCAAATGAACAGTAACACAGCTGATACAGCCCTGCAGGACTGTAATTAACTGTGCTGGCACCACAGCCAGCAAGTCAGCTTGTTCCATCAGCTTGCCAACCTACTCTGCTTCTTGCAGGAGCTCCTCAACACACAGAGGTTTTTCTGCTCCGCGTTTTCCCCCTGCAGGGAGCACTCTCCTGAACTCCACCCACTACAGCCTTATGTAATAAGATGCTTACATTGCTGCCCCAGCACATCACCCTACAAAGCAAAATACAGGTTTATACATACAGCTGGTTTCTTAAAGCAGCCCTCAGGGTGATGAGTCACATCTGTAGTAAAAGTTAATGGTTGTAATTATGGCTCAGTCTCAGAATCTGAAGCAGTTGGACCACATGAAAACGTCTTTCTACTTTAAGTCTGAATCTATGACTTGGTGGTTCCACCTCCCCTTCAGATTTTTCCACTATATGATACAGAACAAAGACCTAATGCACATGGAACCAAACCCACAAAATTTCAGTGTAAACATAAGTTGTATCTGGTTTTACTTAATGATCCATGTTCGGTTTTTTGGAAGCGTTAGTGTTGTAAGATAGTAATTTGGCTATATTATAGGTCCCCCAAAGTTTCCCAGTAGATATGCCTGGCTGCAGCGTACTTTATATCCTTTTGAAAAGAAAAACTAATGCATATACTGCTGAAGAGCTGTCATGTGGAAGCAAATAGTTATATGTTGTTAGTGTATCATGCACAGACTCATGCAAATTTTTTTACATATATTTACAGTGAAGTGCAGCAATATGCAACATCTGCTCAGGCAGCTGATGAAGACAGCAGTTATCACAAATTTCCAGAATATTTTACATGTAAAGCTGTTCCTTATAGTTAGAAAAAAAATATTCTTGAAGACATAGTGTACTAATATCGCAGTTCTAAGAAAACAAATGTTATTCAGAGCAGCTACAAGCATTTGTGCTAACTTAGAAGTATCTCGAACAATTGCTTCAACTGATGATTTAATTCATAGTCTTCTGTTTATAAGAAATTTTCAAGGCTTGCAGCATTCCTCTAGTAAGATATAAGGAAGAAATCTAAGCTAAAGAAGTATCAACATCTCCTTCAGAGCAGTTAAATATAAGAACTTCAGAGTTAGTTCCCAAAGACCACGCAGAATCTGGCTATGTGGGAAAATAAATCAAATGATGGTGCCATCTCTAATGGGAAACAGAGAGGCAATCTCACCACAGACTCGAAGAAATACATAGGCACATTTTCAAAAACTAAATAGGGCATTTAACAACAAACAAAAACATAGAGCTTGAGCTCAACTTTAAAACCACATTGGCAGAAAAAGATGAAAAACGTTCTTTTAAATGGGTTGAAATTCTTTATTTTGCTTGTGCTCCTTGCCAATACTGTTAATACACAGCATGCCATCTCAGCATCGGCTATTCCTGACTTAACATTTAATTTAGAAACATGCTGTACATTGGACAACCACACTACAGACCAGAGAGTAAGCATTTCACTTTGTTTTATCTTAACAACAACAACAAATCAGCTAAGGAAATTATTTTGTGTCCCCCGTTACATTTCAAAAAGAATGATGGCCATGTGGTGAAAACTAATTCTTTTGCAAGCAGACATAGGACAAAAGTACTTGTATAGTTACCAGGAACAGCAAGAAGAAAATAGCCACAGCTTATTTAATGAAGCCACTGATTTCATGAATCGCTTTCATAATTCTCTTATTTTAGCGACTATTCTTAACATAAGCACTGAAGAAGGAGAGAGCCATAATACTGTTCCTGAAGCCTCGACTAGAAAGTGTGAAAATAGGTCTTAGGGTTAAAGAATGAAGAAAGAAATACAGCATCCTTAGGGATTAAATTTAAAAGCTCAACACTTGCTAGTAAAACACATTTCTTGCATGAGTCAAGAAATACTTTCTACGTAGGAGCCACAATGTTTTGTCTGTGTACAGTGTGTATCTACATGAACATTAGCTGATAAGAGCCCCAAGAAATGGCAAAGCAAGGTGAAGAGCATTAATGCCTGCCCCCTAGTGACAAGTTTTTTAAATTAAGAAGCTGTGATTGGGAGAGTATCTTCACTGGAAGATACATCAAGATCTCACGTAAATTCAATCGTAACTGTTTGGAGAGAAATATTTAAAAAAACCCAACCAACCAACCCAACAGCCAAAAGGCTTCTACAAACTAACTCCTAAACCCCTAAACTCCTAACCTCCTAAACCCATCCCTCCTAAATTCCAGGAAAGATCAAACAAACATCACATCTGAGAAATACTAGGGTCACACCTGCAGTTACATTTAATTTGTTCTTTCATGTGCACTACAATGTTGTCTTTTATTACAAAAAGACTATTTCTGTGCTTGTGTCCATCTTCAGTGAGCGCACTGATGGTGCTGTGTAAGGCCCACACACATGCTCGTCAGGAAGCAGGGCTATGCCTACATTAGCAAGCGAGGCAACACTCATTTTACGTGGAGCAGCACGCGTTACAGATACGCTCTTGATGCTAACTGCAGCAGCAGGACTCCCTTCCTCCAGCCAGGGTGGCCTGCACAGCAACGCTCAGGAAGGTTAGCTCTGCAGGCAAGCTCTGCATTCATTAAACAACATTCAGAGGTTAGGAAATGCCAGAAGTGGTCCTTTTCCAAATCTACCTCGTTTCCCTCAGCACAAGATCTGTAAGTAACCCCAAAAGACCAATTCTGAATTCTGTTGCTAATGGTTTTGGCCAGATTCTCGCAAAAATACGGTTAAAATAAAACAAACGAAGTTATGCTAAGAGTGAAAAAACTAAACTCTCCCAATCCTCTTTGCTCAAATTTGGCTTGTGTTTGAGGCAAAGGATCACAACTGCTTTGCTCTACCTGAATCAAAAAAAATGAATTTTCAACACTAAAAGCACTGGTAGGAAATACATGTTTTTAGATGTAAGCGTTACTCTATGTAACTGGCTGGTTAGAAGACAACTAGCGTTTGTTTCAAAGGAAAAAAATATCCACTATACATAAACCAAAAGGCAGTAAAGACAAAGGAAAGAAAAGGCATTTCACAAATACCTCATTTCAGGTGCACAAAACAGAAAACACAGTAAAAATTACAAGTCCTACTAAACGATGCTTTAGGACCCCCCAAAAGTCCTAGTAATACAGGATGCAGAGGCTGCAAGTGATTTACCGCATGACACGCAAAAGGAGCGAACAATTCCCGGCGGTGATTTTCTGTCTATCAGAACAGACAGAAGGGGAACATAAATAATCTGACAAAGCCTAACTATCTTTATTCATGCTTTTGCAGTTACACACAAACAGCTTTGCTCAATGCGTCAGCCAGGCTGCTAACTTTCACAAGCACTGAATTCAACACGGTAACACTGTCTTTGACCCCTCACCTCCAAATATATTGCTCTACAAAATCTACTCTCCGTGGATTTAGAAACAGATAGGTTACAAGTTGATATTGCCAAGAGAGGCATGTTACAATACAAGAAGTCTTGACGACTAGCACGTAATTTTGACAACAAACCCTACAAGAAAAATGTCACCTATTTAGTTGGAAACCTTACATTAGAAACTAATACCAGCAATATGCCTAACTCATATAAAACAAAAATTTGCTTTTCTCAGATGGAGTTATGTCCTCAGTCTCCTCCAGCTACTAAACAAAGTTAGGCAATAGCTTTGTCAGACTTCTTGCAGTTAATAGAACTAGACTATTAACAGAAGCATATAAAAAGTACAACTGTTCCTGCTTATTTTACTCAGTAGAACACTAATGGTCCTGAACACTGCAGTTTGTGTTTCTTTACAAGGAAGGAGGAAGTACAACATGGAGCCACCAACTTTAATACTAAATGGGAAGCGAACAGCAGCTGTAGAAGTCTGGATAAGGACTGCTCAGTAGGAAACTATACAGCTGCTTTTAAAACCAGTAATGGTATCATTTGTTATTTGTTACGCTTTTGTGAAAGAATTAGGAATAGGCATAAATGAGTTCAGAGAATTATCTGAGCAACTTCATGCAAGCAGCAAGGACCTTCCACTTTGCAGGAATTAAGACTATCTCCTGATCAGAGTTTTCACTAAATGAAGGCTCAGGTCTTCAGTCTTTCTTTTAAATAAAGCTGCAGTGCTTTCAGCTTTTTAAAATGTAAAAATCAGGTCACCTTAAAATTAGATTTATTCCACAACTCAGAAAACAGGATGAAGCTCCAGCTATGTAACTGGCTGTAACTTCCATCCAGTTTGAAAGACTTTGATAGCTGAAAAGCATCCCTAGTTTCCCCATGCTTCTATACAAGCAAGTCCTTTTTTTCTCTTCTACACCTTGTCTCACATTGACTTTGTAATACTCAACTCTTTTTCTAAGTAATTAATTTTGAAGTATAATACTAAATTCTTTTTCTAAGTAGTTAATTTCAAAGTACAAGAGTTACAGTAATATCCAATGCTCACCAAGAATAGGCTCAGTTTGGAACGCATAATGTCTTCAAATACACACCTCTCTTCCGAGCCTGACCAGAACATCAGGTCCTGTCAAAGCTCTCTCCCTCAAAATTCATTGCCTCCTTTATTTTATGATAAATAACCTTATAGTCTACATAACACACCAATACTATGCACTGATCGTTTAGGGATCCACTCACGTGTAGAAAGCCAGAGTGAATTATAAAGTAAAGTAATTTCTTCCCCGTTTTTTACTACAAAAAGAGTAGAACTAGCGCACATCCGCCAAATCTGGTCCACATATAAAATGAAGTTGAAGTCGTAAGGTTTTTTTGTTACTTTTGGACTGTTGAGGCATTTTGTTTGTTAAGGAGTCATATAGACTCAAATTCCTTTTGGCTTTTTACAATTTCTCAACAGTTATATAAAGCTTCTGCTTTAAATATTACTTTTATTTTCCAGGGGCTTTCAATTACAACACCCAAAAACCGTATTCTTTAAACTCTTGTAACAAGACAGTCTTGGGGCCCTATAATTTTTATTTTGCGAAATCAGAAGGCCTATGTTGATAGAAATCACACACATTCTTACCAGCTGTTAGTATGGTTTTAGCACTCTGTACTATACTGGAAGATCTCACAATTCCTGAAATGCCTGCAGATAGAAAAACACACAGATGTTACCTATCTTAGCAGCTTGTGGGGATTTTTTTATCCTGCAACATACACAAAAAAGTTAAATATTTTTCCAGTTATACAATCAAACTGGCCTAAAAGTAAAACATACACTTAAGCTGAGCAAGTTTGTTTCTGTTCTGCTTTCTCATGCTAATTGAAGATATTCTCTAAGGTATTTTAAATTATTTTATACATAACATACAAAAAACCCCAAGCCAAATCAATAATAGAACAGATAACAACCAGTAGCCATTGATACAATTAACTCATTTAGTGTTTCCATTATTTCTCTACTAAGATGATTAGTCACAAAGGATTCAGAGTTTCATTTAAGTGCTGGCGTATTAACTATCTAGAGCAGAACAAATTATACTCATTGTTTGCTTCAATATGAAATTGGGATTTTGTACTTCTTTGATCAAGCAGAGATGCGTACATTGTGCAGTGTTTGTCTGGCTTTTTTAAATTATCAGCTTTTGGAGATATGGCTTGTTTACCACTTTGCACTGTGGCACATTCAGTTCTTCTTGTCCAGTGGTTCTTAGGTATTAGTGCAATAGTAAATAAAACATCAAAACTTTTTTTGAAAAGTACTAAGTTTCATCTGTTCTAACGTGTGTGTATATATATATATATATATATATAAGCATACCGGTATGTGCAGAACAGAACTACTGTACATTACTAAGTACTTAAAAATGTAGAAGCGCAGCAGCCCCAGAGTTAGTCTTCCAAACTGGAAGTTACTCTTCTGCATTAACCAGAATGGAGAATATAATTTCAAACAATATTTTTAAATCCTTCTTTCAAAGCTGTTTCTATAATGAAGAACAAAGGTTCAGGAAATCCATGAATAAGTAAGAGGGATACAATATTCCACTGGAAAAATAATTTGGGGGGTAGGGGTGGAGCAGGGAAGGGAACAAATTACATTGAGCTAGTAAAATTCCTAGGCACAATGCAATTCAGCTTGAGTAATCAGCTTTGTCTAGTAGGATTACCCAATGGCTTGTCCTGTCCTTTACCCAGATTCCTGAATTGACAAAATCTTTCAGCCACAAAAGTGAAAGGGGTTTTGATTTGTTCTCCAAAGAGTATAAACTGTTTGGCTTGAGAAAACTCGATCTACCCAATGTTTTGGTACTGAACTGCCGCATTAGCTTAGTATTCAGGTGAAGTTACACAGCCAATGAAATGCTGAAGGTGTACACATCCCAGAGGCAGATGGTCTAAGCAGGCCACACTAATTCCTAAAGACTACTTCTTTCAGAATCAAAACCAAAACATATCTTTCTATATCAGTAGGAATGCTATTTGCCAGTATTTCAGAGAACCTGTTTGCAATCAAACAAATCCAAACCCATGCTTTTAGGTATGGATCTCAAGACTAACCTCTTGTTTACTTCTTCCTTCTCTCTAAATCATCCTTCTGAATGAGAAGAACGTGTACAATAAGGCTGTATATCTACCATGTCTCAAAGGAGATTATGGACACTTAACTAGGCCTACCTTGATGCACCACAAATCCACAGTCAGGGTCATGGGCAACTTGCAGTAAAATTTCTTCCACATCTCTGTTTTTTCCAGGAGGGTCTACCAGAGAAGTTATCTTTTGTTGCAGAGTCCTTGGCAAAGCCATTAGTTGTGTAAATTGACCTTCTGGACTTTTATCAATCTGAATGTTATAAAAAATAACACAGTAAACACATTCAGTGTGAATAAAGTTAAGTTCTCTTTTTCAAAGAAGTCAGAAAAGTCTTTTGGCTATCTCTGACACAATCCATTGAACTCGTAAAAGTCATTGACAATGCTAACGAAAACTTCCCAAACACTGGGAAACGGAATTATCTCAGTTCTGAACCTGAAGATGCAAAGATGTTAATTTTTATCCAAGGGAAGACTAATGTACACACATGATCTTGCTGCCTCTGCAAGCAACTTTTCACTGAAACTGTATCATTTCTGCTCTACCCAATTTCCTTTGGAAACATAAGTACGCTACAATGAAAAAAAAAAAAGCTCCCAAAAGACCACTTAGCTGAGTTTCTTCTGCCTGAATATGATCAAACTATACACATACACATTTCAAGTTTAGTTTGAAAAACATTTTCTCTGCTTTAAACTCAAACTACATCTGGTTCATATAAAATGAAGGAAACATTCTTTCCACATTTTCCAATCCAAATCAGAAATTCAATGACCCTTTTTTGAATACAACGATACCAACGTGTGGGTCTGTACACATTCATACAAAATGTAAGCACAAATACTGAAAAAAGCATAATGGAGCAGATCTCTCCAAAACTGGAGGAAAATTAGAAAAGCTCGATTCTTCCCACACAACTTTTTAGAGTTCATGGAGACATCAGACAGGAGTCTCGTTACCCTATACACTCCCGTTAGTCAATGGGGAGAAAATGATATCCAGATGAATCACCCACTGACTACAGAAGGAGCCGACAATGAGAAGGCTCTTAATGTTATGTGGGAGGAATCCACGCCTGAACCAGAACTACAAGACCTAGTGTCTGCCTTCAATTGTTTTTGAGGAATCTTTTAAGAAAGAATTTTCTCTGTAACCCTGAAGCCATATACTTGGAGAAGGGGTTTCTATTTTGCGTTAAACAGCACTCCCGATAGCAGTTATCCTCTTCAGTCTGGGGAGTAACTGCCAATAACCAGACCAAGGTGTGAGGAATAAAGCATTAAAGCACTTTGCTCAAAATCTACAGTAAAATGATGGCATTTAATCAAAAGCCTCGATGACTATTATGGAATTATGGCCAGATGTATTATCCAACAACATCTTTGCAGTACGCTACCAGGATTTGCTTAAAGGTAGCACAACAGGGTGTATTATTCTAACTAGCCATCTTCTTGGAGAAAGCATTACTGATTCTTTTCAAAATTCGTTTGAATACTTCTTCCACTAAACTGTTCAAAAGCACATTGATAAGAAAACACGGAGACAGCTGCAGTATAATACAGATTTGCCTACGCTGCACTCCAAAGTTTGCAGTAAAATTGTTTACTGTATTCAAGCTTGCTTATATCTGTACTTTAGTTTCTAACAAAGACACGTCCTAACAGGAGGCATTTGTAAGATAATTACCACGGTGACTCGAGGATAAAGAGATACCTATGTCCATGAGACAATCCCATGCTGTTTGTAACTTCACGTTGAAATGAGTAACACGCTTGAATATTCACGCACAGACATGCATACTGCAAGAGGAGAAACTGCTGTTGGAGCCCTGGCTGTGGCATCTCTCCCCTAATTGCAATGTTACACTTATACCTTATGCCAGAAAGATGGAATTCAAGATACTGGTCATTTTTGATAACTGTTTCCAAAATACTAGGAAAAAGTGGTTTTAGTATGGGTATTTAAGGATAATGTCAGAATTTCATTTGGGTTTAGTCAACCGATCTTCATAACTAGCACTCTAGGGCTGGGGTTTTTTTGTGAGATGCAGTTTTTGATTGCAGAAAGTTGCACCTCTAAATTACAGCCTAATCTTTTCAACTCAAACCATATGCTTATTCATCACTTCCTAGACTGTTGTTTCCATATGGTAGTCATTAGAACACACGTTTTAAAACTATCTTCTCTTGTTCCTTTGCTAGGGCTCTAGTTCTGTGCCCATACCCAAAGAAAATGAACAGTAGTTACTACATATGCAGAGACTGGTATTTAAGGCAAGTCTTCTGGCTGCAGAATTAACTAAACAACAGAAACGTAACAAATAGCAAGTACAGTGACTACAACTGCTCGCCTTAGTGTATGGCATAATTCTTGCCTTCTGTCAATGTGATAAAGCACTTCCACTTGCTTGTTTTAAAAACATTTTGAAGGACACTTGCCTCTAGCCTTCCCAGATGGTGCTTATATACCACTTGAGGGCAGTCCTGTAATATGTTACTGTACAGCTTCTGAAAATGGGGAACATTAGGTTTCACTATGTTCTGCACTTTCGATCTGTCTTCTCCTATTACCATTCTGAAGTCACCTAGATAAGAAAAGAAAAATAGTTAATTCATTAGCAAAAAAACATGAAAATTCAAAGAAGGAGACTGTAACAGAAACCACCATAGTACAAAGCTGCCATCTAAAACTTTATTCTCCAATTCTACCAATAAACCACAATAAGGTTCACCTAATAGTCCAAAAATACTATTCAAATACCTTCCAGCACAGAAAATAAGATTCAGAATTGTTTTGTGGCCTCTGATACACTGTCATGTCATCAACCCATGTGTCCACATTTTCACTTGGATCACAAAAAAATTCCAGCTGTCAAGTTCAGACTCAAAAGCAGCAGTAACACAGCTACATTCTTTGCAACCATACATCAGTTTCCACAGATTACTAAATAGATTGACCAGCCCCAATACTTTGTATCTAGAAACAAATAACCTTCAATTTTCAAATATTGAAAAAAAAAAAAAAATTGCATTGTCTCTGCATTTCAAGGGCAGTACCTGAAGTACAGCCAATGACAGTAATGGTAAGATCACAGTATCACCTTTTCCTCTTAGCCACGTATTTTGTTAGTAGTTTCAAAGAGCAACTCCTTTTGGCAGAAAAATAAAATAGCCACTGTTACATTACTAACCTTTACACTTTCTTTTATGATACGGGACTGAAAATTTTCAAAGATAATACGTGAAAAGACAGTCATCCTGTAACAGAGCATTCATCTACCTCTACTAGGTACCACCCTGGCAGCTTCCAGGGTTACCAACGAGGAGTTAGAGGCCCAGTGCAGCATGTATCAACAAACAAAATCCTGGATCAATTCATTTTCCCACTTCCCACATCCAGGAGATAAATGTTGTTGCAAGGTGGCAATTCCCTAGCATTTATTTCAATTTATACCATGCTGCAAAACAAACACTTCCTATATAAATGATACTGACTCACTGCTCTCAAAAAAATGCATAAAAAAATAAAAGGATAAACATTTTCCAAATGAAAGCATGAACAACTCTTTTCAGCAGTCTCCAAGGAGACTGATTAGAATAAGACATAAAATCAATTTTCTCAACTACTACACTCTCTAGGAAGTTTAAGACTGAACAAAATGGCAGCAAAATATAATATCCACAAACACGTAATTGACAGCCTTTTTCTTGAACATTCCCAACTGGAAGTCTTATTGCTTTAGCTCTGCTCACACAGCCAAGTCAATTTCAACATCTTACACCATAATAACTGATCTTCCACAGTTTTGGTTAATTGCACTGTTTCAAAGGATATATAAAAAAAGTATCTTGGTCACTAGTGCCCACACAGAATTTAATGACTTTCCTGGACAGGTTTCAGGGGGGCAGGTATGCAGCCCTGAAGCAAACATCCCTGGTTAGCAACCCTTAACCATCCCACCGTCAGTACCCTCTTGACTTTACTGTTGCTTTCAAACCAGTAACAATTCAGAAAAAAAATGCTAAGAAAAAGCTGAACAAATTGCAATCTGAACTGACCAGAGAAATACCAGGTAAAGAACAGTAACAGTCTTCAGTAGAATCAAGCTGCAGCTAGTAAACCCTACCTGTGCTTTTTCAAAAAAGCCAAACTTGCATTTCTTTATGAGCAAAGAAAGTGCTGGATAAAGTACAACTCCAACCAAACTCGTTCACAGTGATTCCATTAAGGACATCAACATTTAAAAAGTGATGCTCAATTAAATTGTAACGATTAAATCTTGTATTTAAGAGTCATTTGGAGCAATTTCTTAAATTTTTTTCCATACCAATTTCATAACTAAAGAAAGGAGGAAATTCTCTTTCCAAAAAAAGGTCAACAAATACCAACCAGGAGGTGAGAGTTAAATGTGCATTGAAGAATCATAACCTGGATCTTTAAGTTAGCTAAATAAGAACCTTAAACACAGCACATTCAAAAAATAAGAGATAAAGCACGGGCCAGACTACCAGATGAATCCACATTACACTAAGAGTGGAAAGACAATTCTTTTTCCAAGGTTTTGAACCATTAAAAACAAGATACCAATCCATACAAACAGAAAAAAAAAAAACATTATTTCACCATATTCAAGCACCCATACTTAGCTGTTGATAAATCAAGCAGGTATAAGTTTTCCTTATGTACCTATACCTATTTTCTATGAATAAGCACAATCAGTCTTTACAAGCTGTTACATAACGCAGCAGTAAAATATCGTTATTGGAGCATGCCCAAAGCAAGACAGCGGCTGACTTATTACGCATCACACTTCCTCCTGTGGTACAACAGCTCCAACTACAGCTTTTCTCCTCAGAGACTCAAGACACCATATACTAACCAGAATAGGAGAGTCCTGCAATCTGCATATAGAGGTCTTCTTCAGAGAAACTTTCTGGTAGCATGAGAAAGGCTGCTGTGACTGCACTCTTCAGATTGCTAACAAGAGCAGCTTGCAGCTTGCTATTCTCATTCTGTGTCAATATTTTCACCTGAAAAAGCAGAGTTATGGGAAGCAAGAATTCAGGAAAGTGCTAGTGAAGATGGAGCTAGAAATGTTATTCAATCCAACATGAAAAATAAATAAGAAATTTATTTCAGATTAGATCCTATTATTATGGTACGATAGAGACTAGAGTGTCGCCTTTTGTTTACACAGTGGGAGAGGAGTAACTTTCTAGAATTAACAGCCTGCTACAAATGCTGTTTTTACAAAGACACTTGGAACTGCTATAAGCAACAGCCATTAACTAATCTCACCTTTCCATATTTACAAACTTAGGATTAATCAAAACAATAAATATGAACGCATCAACAGAAATACTTCATATATGATTATGCAATAAGAAAAAAAAGACCCCTGTCACACTGAAAGTCAATGGAATACCAGAAAAATAGGTATGCTTTCCTATTCATCTTAATTTTTATTTTTGTTTTTAAATAGAGGACTCCTCTATCGTATGCTTCAAACAGTTTCTTAGACATCAGTTGTCCTCCTAGAAGCAGCAAGATGTTGTTTTGCACTTTGTATGAGCAGAACGTGAACTCATTGGGAACTTCACGTACACCTGAAGAACAGAACACTGAAGTTGAGTGCTTCTACATGCCACAAAGAGAAGTTTATTTTTGGGAAACACTGAAACTGTTCAAAACTAACTACAGAATCCAGTCACCTAGGATATGGAAATAAGACTGGAATAGAAAGCAGATCCTCAGTAAGAACTGAATATAGAAACTTATTATTAGAGAACATTAGACAGATGAGGTCAGCCTGGTTTACAAGATAGCCAACTATGCTCTTTCAGAAACAACTCTCCCAAGAATACCTGCCTGTTTTGAGTTTCTGTCTTTTTCAAGTGTTCTGGCTAAGCAATACTGTCTTGCTTATAAAGGGCAGCTTCTTAGTATTTGTTTACTCTAGAATACCTTAAAATGCAAACCCACTGGTAGTTACAAACAAATGCATCCAACTTGCTTTTACTCCCCAAAAGCCCGTTCGCACACAAATGAGTTGCCGTATTACTTGACATTCTGGCCCCCAAATATAGGCTGAAACAGCTAAGGTATACTTTCAAGTAAATATTTTCCTTTAGGAATCTGAATACTCTGTTAATGAAGAAAAAACCAAAACAAAACCAGTATACAGAGAATTCAGTTAACTAACAGTACAGTTGAGACTTTAAAATTATTAAATATATTAAATGAGGGATATATTCAATTTTATAAATAAACGTGACCCTCAGTCATCACAACAGTCTAAAGCAGGAAAGGTACTACCTTCCCTGCTAGGAAATTCATATACAAGAAACCGCAGGCATGGATACACAGAGAGACTTAGAGGCAAACAAAATACACAAAGAGAAATTTCATTATAGAGTGAAAGATGTCGAAAGCACTATTGCAGTATGCCATTTAGCCACATCCACACTCTGCTGAATATCACGATAAGAGGATTTTTCCATTCTCTTTAAAAAACTGTTTTTACAGATTTGGACAATGGAAAAAAATCTGTAAACAAATATGTGCTCTGTCACTCCTTCACGGGAATTTTTATAATATAAAAAACCTAAACCTCCCCAGACCCTTTCAAAGAGTACAAGATACACTATTCATACTCCTCTCTCTCTCTCACACTTCACTTCAATCTGTTAAACTCTTCCTCCTCTTAATAATTTCTCCAGGACAACAGTAAATACAGCTGCTTACACTAAAGAAATTACTTGCACTCTACATTTAACAAAAATTCAGTAACACTTCAGATGCTTTTTAAAATTTTCCTCCTCTGAAAACCAATTATGTGTCACTTGTGCTTATTTACTTTTTAGGTACAGCAGCATTTTTTTTCCAGGAGACTTGTCAGTTATGAAGAAATTACAACTAGGTTTATTCAATTTTTCAATACAGTTAAATGGAAATTTAGCTGATCAGCATTATAAATTTCGTGTAAGATGAAATGCCAATAAACTTTTAACACAAACAAAGAAGCCTGGGAAGAAAAGTTAGCATTTTTAAGTGGCAATCCCAAACTCCTCCTATTCTGCCAAACATTCTGGAAAGATTACTTGGTCAAGGCAACCAGTTTGTAACAGAAACAAAACATCCAGTGAAAATTAAGCCAAGATTTCCAAGCCAGAGCAAATGTTTCAGCTCATGTGCTAGAATAGCTTGGACAGCTTTCACTCATAGAGTGACAGCTTTGTAATGGAACACCAGAAAGCGCTGGGCTCTTCCTCTTCTATGTGAGCGAGGAGGAAATTCCCAAACAAACTGTTAAACAATATTAATCTGGCTTCAGTCAGCTGTGTCCAAAACTAGCGCAAATGGTACGTAAGAGATTACAGTGTATAAGAAAACAAACCTAACCCTGTGTCCCTTCCAAAAGAAGCTTATTGTACATTTTTTAAGGAGGTAAAAAAACCTTTCTATCACTACCACTTACACCATGTATATCAAAACATTAAATCGAAGCAGGAACCAGCAGACATTTGAAACCCATACAACAGATCTAAATAAATTATTTGGTCATTTTTGTTCAACACAGTATAACATTCAAAATCCCAGTTAGCGATTTTAATAGATTCTACAGGAAGAGACAGTTTAAAAATTCACCAAGTAATCTTTCGGTCCAATTCTAGTTTAAGTCCTGCAGTCTTTACTCAATGCAAATTCCTGTGAGCTTTATGAAAATAATCTGGACTGATTTCTTCTTTTATCTATTAAACACATATGCGATATCCCCACTGTCTGGTTAGCAACCAAACAAAATACGAAGTTCTGCCTTCTTGTGAAAGTATGTCCTCCCACTGAATTTAACCAAAACATGCAAAGCTCAATTTATACATACTAAGATGAAAAATCCTAAAATAAAATCAAAGCAGCAGCAAATGCAGTTACACTGAAAATTACTCATTGTAAATGTGAAATTTAGAATTCTTCCTTCAGTTATTTTTCCTCAATGTACTAAGTTTCATGCTTTAGAAAGGTAACAGCTGTTCTAACCTGTATCGTGCTATAATACATGCCTGGGTTACAGAAAAGCCAGTGGCACTGTCACAATCTACTCAAACTTTCACCCAAAGTTTTTAGTTAAAAGTGTAATTAGCTTCTGTTCTAAGACTTGAACAGAATTCTCCTCTGCTACCCTCTCTCCCCTCTTGAGAAATTTTAACTTAGCACTGCTGCCATCTGCTGAAAGCACACTGAATCGGGCACTCATGGGAAAGTAAAGACCTCATATTTTTTATGACACAAACAACAAGCAGAAAACCCGACATGCTTAACATATGGTTCAGTCAATTATAGATACTTTAACAATACAATGAACTAGACAGTAACTGCACAACAAAGCAGCTTTCATCTTGAAATATTTCCATTATTAATTGTGTTAAATTTTAGTGGCTCCTATAATTTGTTATAAAAGGTAAATATTACATTTAACATTAAAGGGACTTTGAGTTAATATAGTCCAGTTATTCAAGATTTACTACAGGCAGAAAACTGTGATTAGTATACTTACCTTTAGGGGTTTTTTTTCACATAACAGAATATCATTAAGGACTACATTTCACTTCATTTCTGAGAAATTACCCCTCTAGGACTAGACCCCTAAATCAGGGCAGATTTTTTGTTCAGTACTGACACGTAGATCCTTAACAGTTAAAGTTAAAACTACAACTGATAATTTTCCAGCCCTGTAATTTCCTGCATTTCAAAACAGATAACTGAACAGACTAACAGTTACCGGTTTTTGTAGGCGTCCAGCGACATAGAGGGTTTTCCAGTGAAGTAAATCATCAATCAGGGTATCAGTGCTAATTACACCATATTTTATCATCTGGAAAAAAGCAAAATAAAGGCTTTTGAAAAACCATATACCTGCACCATTTTCAGTACATGAAACTTACTACTTACTTACTATAACTATCATTAATTCTAAGGAACACATACCTCTAACAAAAAACTGGATGCATCATACTAAAATGTTTTAGTGTTTTAATGAACACTGGAGGCAAAAAGAATATGTAATTCCTATTTACATGCAAACTTTGGGGAAAAAAAACCACCCACATGCAAAAACCCATGAAGATGCACAGAACCCTCTAAGGTTCTTTCTAGAATCAAAGTTACAATGAAGTCACTCCAGAATCAATCACTAAAGCAAAAGACTTTAAATCCCAAAGAAACCTAGTCTAGACTGACACTGAAGAGATCTTAACATTAAAATACAACTGCTCATAAAAAAAAATTTAGAAAGGTTATAATCAGGTTTGTACCAGCCAAACATAACGATAGTTGCAATAATCCACAGTATCCTTTATGATATGGAAAACCCTCAAGAAATAGTTTGTCAGAGATCTAAAATAAACAAAACTCCTAGATATTTCTGTGTATCATTATTGACAGTTGGGGTGTGTATCAGGGAGCTTTCTTTGGCTATTTGATGTTAGAAAACAAAGTGATTTTTTTAGTTCATTTTATGTAACCGGAAAAAAGATGAACTTTCCACAGTTTGTTACCAATTTGCACTTCCTGGGTTTCCAAAGATTATCACCACAGCAAGGCAGCCAACTCCAGAATTTCTGGATAACAAAGGACCACAGCCTGTGATAAGACTGAGTCATTATGGCATGAGATAAGAGCATAAAGAGCCAAGAAGAACAGAATTTCATAGCAAAGATCATTGGTGCTTAAAATAAAATCAAAAATCCCTTTTTACACAAAGTGAACAAGATTTAGACCCCCAATTCTTGCCTCATACAGATGCCTCTAAACAAAACAGCAAGTACGTAGTAGACTACTTTATCTACCTCTCCAACTTTCTCTGAAGAATTCTGACGTGCACCCAACATTACTGTAACCACGCGTGCTCTGAGAAACTTCTGTTAGGTGTTTAACGTTCACATGGCATTTTTCCATGACTGTCCTTCATTTCATTTCTCATCTTTCTTAAAAGAGCTTGGTTTCCCTATGCACAGTTTGTTACCACATGGCAAAAGTTACTCAAAATCAACACCCAGACAGACAGATACAACATCTCCCTCCCCTGACTCCCATCTGCACTCCTCCTTACCAGACACAGTCTACATATAGAGGCAGGAGGAGGACTTGCTGGACAAGTACTAAACTAGAATTATACCCAAACTTCACAGGTCAAGATGTCAGCCATTAAACACCACACATGTCAATCCCAACTTGCTATCTTAAATATTTGCATTTTATGTCAAAAAAACAGTAAGAACCCACTTTACCAGTACTACATGGTCAACTGCCAAAATTAAGACCCCGTTTCCCCAGATGATACACTTTACAACCACCAAAACTGGCAGACAGCATGCAATAAGAAATCTAAATTCAGTTTCTGAAGTGCTTTAGTTGTAAATTCCAAACATTGCTCGCACTTTTAAAGTGCAAGAGCAACTGCTCTGTTTGCTTTTTAATTAATGTGCTGTTTGTGAAACAGTTTGAAACATATTGAAGATACCATGTGTTAAGGACCAGTTACAATTTACAAAATTTGCCTCCCGAACAGAAATCTGCTTTAATCTAATCATTTCAATAATTCACACACAAACATTTGACTTATTCAAACTACTTGTACTTACCCGACCATTACATGGCACTAAAGTATTGTAGTAAATCCCTGCTCCGTAGCTCTGTATACTACTTATCTGTTTTGGCCCAAAAACTTTTAGAAAGGAATAATGACTCCTGTTCTTTAACAAGTTCATCATATGCCAGGTCACAGAATCATCAACAGCAAACACAAAGTCCAGCATATTGTTCTGTGGGTAAGGAGAAAAGTATTGGGTTTTATATGTCGGGAAACAAGCAATGTTAATCATATTAATCTAGGATATGCATAGTATCAAACTACCAGCTAAACATTTTTCACAAGAAATAAAAAAAAAAACAAAACAAAAACAAAACCAAAACACAAGCATTAATGCCAAATACAGCTTAAAGGTTCTGATGAAGTTGTATGTTTTCCAGTCAGTGTAGCAGAGATGGTCCAAAATTCTCCTGTCCTCCTGGTTAAGTGACCAACCTTCAACCCTCCAAAACAGGGGAGCACGTGACGAGATCTTCACGATCCTAGTTCAGAGCTCTGCTTAACAGCTTAAACTTAATGAGCAGGACTTTTGCTAGTATGTGAGGTGATGAATTGGGAGATGTGGGCAGATAAAGTCAGCTTAGAGCTGGCAGCAGGAAACTGCACTTCTAGTGTATTGACATGCTTTTGTCAACAAAACAATCCAAACTCCAAAGGCTCGCAAGGTGCAATGCATGATGCCCTGCTCTTCTGAAGAAATGCGTCCACACATTCCCGGCACACAGACAAGCTGACAGTTTACAACTCATACCTACAACGAACTAGTGTCTGGAGCCGCTTTGCTTCAAATTCATTAGGCCTCTGCGGCTTACTAACTCTGGGCTGCATCTTAACTAACCAGTTAATACTACTGAAAAGATACTCTGTTAGCTACCTTTCTCCCCCCATTCTTTTCTGTGGGGGTGAGATGCTGTTAGAGCTCTGAAATTCCTATTATCCTGTTTTTCTCTTTTCAGAAAGGAAAACGAGACACTAAATTTAAAGTTGGAGTTGTGGGGTGTGCTTAATAGGCAAGCAGTGCTACCTGTTAGCAATACTACAAGCAATACTACCGGTCAGCAATTTTAAAAATATCAAACACGTACACAATAAAAAAATATTAAAATAAATAAAGAAAAATCGCTATTTCCAAGCAGCTTGACCTCCAAAGCATGAGGAAGTGCCAAGAATGCCACGGAAGGGTAGCAATGGATTTTGCCGGGTACCCTCCCAGGGCGCAGGGCAAACAGACCGTTCGCACACAGCGTAGCCCTTTTGGAGGTCCATCAGTAAATAAGCTCTGTCCCGGAGCGGGGCCGGCACAGGGCTAAAGGGGCACCTGAACCACACACAGTGACAAAGCGGCCGTCAGGGACCACCCCGGCGGGCATTTTGCTTTCCATACCACTGCTTTAAGAATCTCTTTGATCTGTATTTATTACAAAGCTATTAATATATCATTGCTTGATTATACTGTCCTATTCTATATTTGCACTTGACTTTTTTCTCTACCAAGAGTAATACAAATTGTAGCTAAACAGCGGAGTCGACTTAAAAGCCTGGACCCTTCGGTGGTAGTTCAAGACTCCACTTGAGTTACAAGTACTGACCAGTTCTTAATTTGTATTAGCATTGGTAGCACAGTCATGGAAGAGCAGATTTGTTATTAGCATTAAAATGAAAGCACTTGGGGGTGAAATACAGGTTTAGACCATGCTAGGAAGTGTACTTTAAACTAGAATAATAATTTTTAAGGAGGACTGAAGCGATGCATGTGCACGGTGAATGAAAGAAGGTAATAAAATAAGACCTCAAAACAGAAAGTGCCAGAAGTAACAGATGCTGAACAACAGCAAGATAGAAAGGTGAATCCCTTAGCCCTGGCATTTGACTTTATAAGACGCATTTATTTATTACCACATGTAGCTAGGTTCACCTATTGCCACATTCGCCAGGAGAAACGGAGATGAACTGCTGTTTTCTGACGGGCTGATCTGATGCTCTCCTCCCTTCACTCCAAAGGCTTTCAAGGAGCTTAGCTGCTCAGAAACAGCACACTCAGAGCATCCTAAATGGAGATTAAGCTACTTCCAAAATTACATCCAACGGTCTCCCAAAGCAGAACAGTTCATACTTTATTTTCTGACCAATGATCAAAGTTGCCACTACCACAGCTCAGACTGGTTATTTTGTGCTCATCTTTTCTGTACTTAAGCTGTTTGGGAGTGACATTGCATTATTTTCGTGCAGTATCTACTTGATCCTGCTACCAGATGAGCGAAAGCCCTGATTTGAATAACAGCTCTCACTCTTGTAAAGACAAATCAGTACTTCAAGCAATCACAGTTCAGTATCCAATTTCTTCAGCTGTACTCCCCAAAGAAGTCAACGCATCAAACTTCACACAGGATTTGTATATACATTAGTCACAATTGCTCAGAATCCCCCTCTTTTTTTTTTTTTTAAATTTTCATATTTTGTACTGATTCAAGGCTTCCCCTCAGGAATTGTAGCCGGCTTTATACTCCTTCACGCATCCAGCCCCCATGCTACAAAAACAGAAAGCCCGCAACATTTAATCTTCACGTTCGTGGTCACGACTGCCACACACTCTGAGCCTGGCTTGGTTTTCATTTTCAAGTCCTGCATAATAAACTTCCCTGAACTCAAATGCGAGTACCAAATGTATAAAAATGGCTCACGAGATTGAAGCATATCTTGTTTCCTCACGATTTTATGCTTCTCTGCATCTGCCTTCCCAAAGATCACGTTTTATCCTCCTTGTATGGGTTTCCAAATGCCCTATTTGACTCTGTACTGTTGTGAGGAAGGGCCGGGAGGTCGCATCCGCTCTGAGGCACTGCCAAGCTAAATTTCATACTTGCGCTAAATTTCAAACATGATTAGGTCTTTAGACATCACTGGAATCATAATGTCTGATTAAAACAAACACATGAAAGGATCTGTAACTCTCTATTCCAGAAAGCGCAGTTTGATATACACAGTTAAGTCACCATCTATATAACTGTTTTTGTGATGTTAAATTAGTAAATGATAAATCAGCGTGTGTGTGAACCTGGCCATTAGGAATATTGGAAGGGAGCACCTGAGGCAAGAGAACAATCCTTAATATAAAACTTTAACTATGTCAGGCGGATGCCATCATAAAACTGGATCAGACCTCTGCTCTTCTGAGGTTTTTTCCATCAAACAACTCAGCCAGCCAGACCCTTCCTTCTGAAGTCTCCACTCTAAATACTCTCCTGCAGAGGAGAAACTAGTATACTAAAAGGAATGTGTATTTACATTAGAAGTTATCACATTGTAACGAACTGAATTTTTACAATTCTGAATAACAAGGTCCAATAGGTCCAACTATGGCTGCAGTCTGGAGACTTTGTTTTCTACTAAGATTGTGATTCGGTACCCAGTAGGGTCTTTGCACTAATTGAATTAGTCAAAAGTTAGATCATGGACCTTGTTCTTTCCACAATAAAAGTATTTTAGTTATGATTTGTATTGATATATTTCTAATAATTGTTATATTAATCTATATTAATTATAATTAATATTTATTATTTAATTACTTCATGGCACACAATATAAGGAGCAGTAGGTTTGCTAAGCTCACATTCCAAATTCCTTCCTACTGCTTAGGTTAGTGAAAGATTTTGCATTACTTTTGAGAGGAGGATCTAACTCTAAAGCACAATTTATACAAGTATCTAAAGAAACATTTTGGGGGACTATCTGATATTTGTCATCCTGACTAAAATGTTGGAGTGCAAATTTTATTAGGTGATAGTTCACCCATTTAATTATTTGCTTTATATAGTTTTTTAACTAGTTGTACTAATTTGGCACATTCTCAAGCACCAGGGTGAATAAATTTACTAAATTTATTTTTTAGTATACTTGCTGAAATGTAAAAGAGACACCTTTAAATCGTGGGACTGTGTTTGTTGCATGCTGCTATAAATGGTAACTCTTGTCTGGTTAGTAAGCAATCTAATTTGATTGCTTAAGAATTTAAATTAGCTGACAAAGAAAGGTGGTATAAGTAGCTGGTATTGCTTAACTAGTTCTTGGCACCACATAGAAAGCTTAATGAGAAAGTTTTCAAATTTTATCTACGCTCACTTATTGGTCAAGTTTACTTTCTAAACTCTATTGACCTTCTTTATAGCTGCCCGCAAACTCAAGAAAAGAAGAGAAACATAATTCTCCATCATTAATGTTATTAAAAAGATGATTGGAAGGGAGTAGGACAACCATGGGTCGCTGTTAGAATTATGTGGAAGAAAGCACGATTACGGAGAAGGTATAGAAACGTTTAATTGAGATAAGATGTTACAAATGAAAATGATTAACTAATACGGAAGACCCCCTATCCCAGCCTGCCTTTAAATTGCATTCAGGAACTTAACTAAATTAAAAGTAGTTCAGAGCTAAGGGGAGGGATGTGATACTTCTGTGAGTTTACAATGCTGAATTTGTGATGCCTGTTTGCATGGAAATCGTTAAATCTGTAGCTCTGAAAAATAGGTAACTTATTACATCTTCTTAGGGTAAGTCTAATTTCATGAAATCAAGATAAAAGCAAACGGTCATTAAATATGTATTTATGGATGGTATTGACCTAGAATGCACTTACTCTAATAAGAGAGTAAAAAAGGGGAAGTTTGAAAATGAACAGACTGGTAACCTTCCTGAAGGAAACTATTATACTGTTGGCTGATACTTAAAACTAGGTATTATTTATTATCTTAGATAATAAAGCAAACTCTGGAGGGGGGGATTGGGAGCACTGTTACTTGAATATTCGTGTAGCAGAGAAAATCTGGGGAACAAGACTGTTAGAATATTGCAGAGTTGTCTATCTCAATCTTTAGTTTACCAGCTCAAAACCTCTTCTTGAGACCTCCAAGATGGGTTTTGTTTATGTAACTTAAAGCTCTTGTTTTCTAACTCTTCTACAACCATGTTCTTTGCTGGGTTTTATGTATTTTATGCTATATCTAAATCTTGTTTCTTGTATCTATTACTGACTTTTAAATTGATTTTGTTTCCAATAGCACAGTTAGTTTTGAGACTAATGGCTTGTGAGCTGGGACAAAACTCTGAGAATCTATAAAGAGTTTATCTGAAAGTTTACGTCAAGTTGTCTTATGTCTCGTACTGATTTTGAAC